GAGAGAGAGAGAGAGAGAGAGCAGGGTCCCTTTTGCAAGTCCATGAAAGTAACCCTTTTTTGTTGAATTCTGCTTAGATTTAGTGCCCATATATATCAAAGGAAAACGAAAGTTTGAATGGTGCAATTGGTTAAATGTTGAGTTTATTTATTAAGAGGTATAAGGATCAATTCTCACTAAATACATTTATAAAAATGCAGGATAAGACTGCGTACAATAAATCCTTGTGGTCAGAGGCGGATCCAGGATTTAGAGGCTTCGGGTGCCACAAATTTTGAACATAGCCATGTTACAATTTATATTATTTAAATAGGGTATAAATTTAATTGGTTTGGTTTATTTGGATTCGGGTTATTCATTTTTAAGGTTAATAAAGACAAATCAATCAAGCAAAAAAATGTAATAATTATAATAACTTGAAAAAAAACATAAGATTCAACTGGAGTATGCATTTTATACAAGAAAAAAGCTCGTTGTCAATTTATATTTGGATACTCAAGGCAAAAACTTATACTAATAAGTCTAAATATTAAAACAGAAGTAAGCTTACAGACATTATTCAATTTACTATTTTTTATAAAAATTAAGCTCACTCGATATTATATACAATTGTCCTACTTTAGAGCATTTTGATAACAAAATAAACTTTCATCCTTGATTAGAACCATAACTTATTCAAAGATTTCCATTTATATTTTTTGGTTTCGGCAAATAGATTTACGAAGTTGTGCTCCTGGAGAAAAAAAATTAATTTTTTTATCATCTATTCATAAATTATGGAGGAGTTGGGAAAGCACAATAGTGGGGATTTTTTTTCACGAGGAAAAAATAAATTTGTGAAAGAATTTGTTTTTATATATTTTATATTTAATGTTTAAAGTAAAAAAGGGAGAAAAGAAATTTTAAAACGAAAAAAAAAAAAAAAGAAACAAAGGAATTTGAAGCGGTTAAATGCACCAAGAAAGGCTTCTAAAAATATTTGTGCCAAGCTGGACTCGATCTCCCGCCGCAGGGGTGGAAATGACAGTGCCTTTCCAGTGGCAACTTGAATCATTTTGTTACTGGGGGTGCCACTTAAATTATTTATATACATTCCTTCTATATATACATGCATCTATATATACTATTGCATAGTCTCGGTCAAACCTTACGGATGGCGTACCACCCCATCCCTTACACATAGATCCGCCCTTGCTTGTGATCCGGCCATTCTCCGGACTGAGCTTAGTTCACCGGGCTCCCCTTTATATATCAAAGGAAACACATAGCTCATATATGTCACCACCAAAACATTCCCAAAACCTATAGTGTAGTGATACAGGTGAAATCCCCACTTAGTTGTGCGGGGTTCTACACTTCTACTCCGATCCCATTGTTCCTATTTCCTCCCTCCAGTCCCTTTATATAATTAACCCAAAAAAATGAAAGAAAGGAGTTCTTAATGTAATGTACTCTATGTCCGAAAAGGTAATTTGATTAATTTATTGTGGATTTAGTCCCTCCGACAACATTTTGCAAGCAAGCTGAGTATTTTAATTAGCATTTAACGGCTGAAGAAAGTTAATTAAGAAAATTTAAGATCAAAGTATCACATAATCATCGACCCATCTTCCTGACTTTTGGTGCAAACTGCAAAATAAGAAATTTAATTGTATTTTAGAGCTTTAGTTTGAGAAATTACTACTTCACAATAGGACAACAAAACATGAGAGAAGCAATTACTCTTCTTGTTAATATCATGAAAATCTGTTTTTTCTGTTAATATGATATTCTTTTCTTATTTGTCCATTCAAAAAAAAATATATATTATATATTTGAAAACACTTTAATTTTAAACTTCAATGATGCCATTATATACGCCCACAAATATTATTGCACGTTTACGACTATAAGTTTCAACTGTCTTTATTTATTTCTTAAACTTCATATTCAGTCAAATTACATCAAATAAATTAAAACGAGAAAATATTTTACCTTATCATCAACTTCAATTAACTCGTTGATGTGATTGCTTCATCTGATCGGAGAAGTTCAAAATAGTTTCCTTGAAATTTACAAGTAAGCAAATCTCTAGTACAGAAACCACTTACTTTGTCTCTTGCACTTTACGCGACATTATTGTTGTTTGAAAAGTTAAACAACTTTTTCTTTGAGCTTGAAGTTTTATAACATAATTCTTTTTTGTTAAAATTAGGATTGAAAATTGAATCGGGGCAAACTCCTACGAAAAGATTACTTGAATTTAAGAAAATTTATTGGACTTTAATTCATTTATTTTCTTAAAACGAAGAATATTTCATTATCCATTTCATTGTATTTGGCACTTTTTTCTCAATTTTGTCTCGCAAAGAATAACACATTCTTATATTAAAAAACTTTTAAACTTTTAAATTTTTATTTTACCCTTAATGATATGTTCTTATTGCCAATGACTTGTCAAGAAATGTTTAGGACCGTTAGTTTTAAAAATCACTCTTATTTTTCTTAACGTCTTGCGTAGTCGAACACAATTACATAGAAATAAAACAGACATATTGTTCATGTCATGTCATGTTTTACTTTTTGTATGCCTTGCTTATGATGAATTGTTCTTCATCTTTCTTTTCTTTTCTTTGGGTGACTTTCTCTTTCTTCCTCTTTGTCATTGCATTGGATGGGGGAAATTCATGAGAAGTTACTAAAGAATTTCTACGAGCATCAGCTTTGGAACAAGGAGCAGCTTAGAGTAATCTTAATAGTATATTCTTCCAAATTCCCACATGTTGTACATGCGTTTTTTTGGGTAAAGCCCGCATAAATAGCTTGCAAGGTTTTATCAAAGAATACTGCGAAGCAACTTCCAATACTCCTACTCAGAGTCCCTTCTCGATAGAGATGACAATGCAGCGAGGACTAATGTTGAATGAGGCAAGATAATCAATGTTGGAATTGGTTGAATATTATTGAAAACATAACTAAATAAATAAAAGTGTATACTCATTAACAGCTTAAACTTTTAGAGGTTACACATTTTAATATGGTATCAGAATAGACACAAATCCTGAGTTCGAGAAGAATTTCTACAAGCTTGGCCCATAAAAGAGAATCAAGTCCGCACATGAGGCTAGTTGAAAACATAACTAAAAATAAAAGTGTACTCTCTCTAACAATTTAAGTTTGTAGATGAAATGATCATACACTTCCAATTTATCATCGATTATTTCATCTCGAGTGACATTCTCTTAAACGAAGTGATAATCAACCTCGATATGTTTAGGTTTTATATAAACAAATTAAATCACTTGTAAAGCTTACAGTACTAGAACTTGAATTGAGGATGCAAAGCATAGTTTGGAAGTTGGGACAAAAATAATGCTACTTCCATTTTGTCTTTATCAATAGCTTAGCACATATAATTTCTTTTCTTAGCATTTTTTATCTTTTATTGTTTGTCATATTTTTCTATTTTTTCTAGGTTGGAGCAATGATAAAGTTGTCTCCGTGTGACTTGTAGATCACTGGTTAGAGTCGCGGAATCAGCCACTGAAGCTTGCATCAAGGTAGACTGCATACATCACACCCTGACACCCCCTCGGAATGCAGCCCTTCCCCCGAACCCCGCGTAAACAAGAGATACTTCGTGCACCGTGCTGCCTTTTTTTACGTCTTTCAGCCTTATCAGAAATTCTTATTTCAGTATAAAATAGAGAATTTTTGGTACCTTTTATCAGAGCGTGATTTCCACTCTTCAATAAGGAACCTGGCTTTCTTCTTCCTTAGTTTTGGTGCATGTGCTTATTTGCAGATGCAGGACCATTCACATATCTTTCTCATTTCTTAGTCCCAGTTGAAGTACTCTTGACCTCAAGTCTCCACCGAAAAAAATGGCTCTTAATCTTGTCTAGTTCAGATATTTGACTAATAAACAAACAAAAGCATCATAGTCAGATTCTTGCATTTTTTGAAGAATTAATCTAAATATCTTCCCACCCAATCTCTTAAACTAAAAATAGCCGGCAAATATATCATATATGGAGTATATAATTATGTGTATAATCAATGTATAACTTATGTATAATGATCATATAGGAAAAGTAAACGACTCCTACCAGCTATTTGTGTAAATATCCTCTCTTTTTTTCAGGAGAAGTTTATTTATTAATGCCTATTTTCGTAATTTCCTACCATTTAAAGTTTAATTTTAGACTAGTGAACCTAGTAGTTCTATGATCATTTTAACCTGTCATAATCAGGCGTGCGTTCACAAACACATCTAGAGAAAGAGAGGACCCCATTTCAATAATAGGCAGTTTACTTGTATTCTACTAGTATTATTTTTTGTTCTATTTTTTAAATTTGTTCTGTTTTTAATTTTTAGAAATTTTTTAAAATAAAATTTCATGAAACTTCGTAACGTGCTTTCTAACTAACATCTTTCACCAGGAAGCTATTTGTTTCTAATTTTTGCAACTTGTATTCAACACGAAATTTTAAATATTCTAGAAAAAGAACATGCACTCGAGTTGTGCCACCCTGATTATAAATACAACAGAGTAGCTAGATTTTGGATGAATGAATAAAAGATGGATATGGCTTTTCAAAACTTTGAATTTCAAGATTAATAGGCCAACTACCCCTCTTTTAGAGAGAAAGAAAAGACTACTGATGAGGGATGTTAAAAATCTCTACAAAGGGCCTTTAGTTTATCTTCAATATTTGTTTCTAAACACACAGCAAAACACCTACACAGAGTGACAGAGAGACACATGCACAAGCGCGCGCACACACAGCGACAGAGACACACACAACTTACAAGTAAAATCACTAACCTTTGAGGCTTGACCTTGAAATAGTTCATCTAATTGTATACTCCAAGTTCCCTACAATGGCATACCATCCGTCACTTACCACTTCATTAGTATTTCATAAGTTTCCTAGTGTGATGGTATAACAAAGAAGAATACAAACTCACAGGACAGATTAATTATTGTGCAACCTCTCAAGAGGAAATCATATGTATTACCTATCAAATGCATCTTGGATTCAAAAGTGACCAAAGAGGTACAAGTGCTGTGTTTTGAGGCATTAAGACATTCAAGATTACTACAAAATCTAGCTTTAAGAGGGGAAAGAGGCTCACTTGACCAAGGTTTAACAGGCTTGTTTGGAACTTATCAATGACTACATTACAACCAAGTATCGGTAGTTCGAGTTCAGTAGTATAGTTGGTTAAAGTAAGTATATATAAAGTAAACAATGAAGAATATTGAGGAATATATACTAAAAAGTAATAATGGCCACATATTTGCCTAACTTTAATAACTAGTAACATAATAGGACTTGGGAAGGAACTCAATGAAACATCAAGGTCATGCTTCATACATCCTTGACGAAAGTTGCCACTCTAAGGTCTCTGGTCAAGTTGTACCTTGGGAAGCAAGCTGAAACTCAAGATGAATTTGAGACGATGCATCCCAAAGATCCTTTGCAAGTTTGGAGTTGTAAGAAAGCTGAGAAGATCTTAGAGTTCTACCATTTCCTCCAAAGAAGTATACTCCTGAGGTTTCCTGGTAGTCATCAAAGCATGAGGAATAGCCAAGAACATTTAATCCACATGATTTGTCAATCCGAATTGCTGTTTGACCTTAGCAGAACTTATTCATAGGAGAATGTTCTTCATTAAAAATACTATATGAGGGAAATCCATCAACACCACAAGTATTTTAGCCAAATTTCACAAGGAAGCATGTTGCAAAGAACTTTTTCTTCAGATTCTATCAGAAAATTGCAGACATTGACCAAACAGGAAATCAAATCAAAGAAATGAAGAGAAGAATTAAGAGCCAACTGATGCATATGACAAAACAGATGATAGAGGAACAGACTCACTGGTGGTGCATGTACTGCATCAAGAACAGAGCGGACTCCTACTTCAGGAGATTGCAAAAGCCCCAAAAGTTTCAAAATGGAAAACGCCAACCATGAGAGGCATGAAGGAATTTCTCGCATAATGTTGGTTTTCACTACTCCAGGATCTACAGCACTTCATCATTCCAGAAATCAAAATACAAGTGTTCAGGCAAATAAAATCACCACTTAAGACTCTTATCCCAAAAAAACAAAAATACATCAATTAAGACATCTAAAGAGCTCTTTGATCTGTTAGGGTTAAATGAGCCAATTTACTAAAGAAAGACAGATAATAAGTTAGAAAGAAACCTTAGAAGCTAAAAAGTTGAAAATAACAAACATTTCCCTGTTTCCCACATTCAGCAGTTCTCACTGTATATCCATTATCCAATGCTTGCTTCTGATTGAAAGGCATGCAATAACTTCTTTACATTCTAACACGCCCCACGTGTTATACAGTTACAGTCTCCACTTAGATAGAGAGGCTGAAAATAGATTAACATAGCCGAGAGCAATTTTCTTTCACATGCTCTTTGCTCTAAAACCACTTTACTCAAGACGATCAATCAGATCACATACAACTACATGCTATCGTTTTTGAGCAACTGTCATATTACACCTCAGAAAGCTCAATTTTCACTCTAACATATGCATAAACAATGAAAGAAGAATTAGCCTATAATTTAGCTTCTAAGTAACTGGCAACGAACAAGCAGGTGACACCATAGGGATAAGTATGCATTAACCTCTACAAACCAACACAAAAGATAAGTTTTACCTTAATAAACAAAAGACATTCTTGAAAGGTATAGAATAAAATTAATAAGCATAATGACTAAGGAGGTGACAAAGAGAACATAACATTTGCTTGATAAAGGAGAACATAAACATACATGACAGAGACATTCTGAGATTTCTCCACCAGACCAACTCGTCGATGAAGCTCATATGTCAAGAGCAGAAGGCATACTGCAAGAGAAGTGGCCAGAGTTTTTAGGTGCCAATGAGCTCTAGGGTAGCCAAGCTTAGTTTAATTTGGCAAATTCAACTTACATTTAGAATACTCATATACATGAGCAAATGGGTAGGAACTTAATTTTGAAAAATACTTCCCAGATATTGTTTCTCCGGTGACCTCCATGCTAGACACTATCGACCAAAAGTAGAAAATGCCAAATTACACTCATATCTGTAAGTTCACCAATAACAACCGAAAGAGCATTCAAAGAAACAAAATGCAGCTCCACTTCAATTGTTATTTAAATAAATAAAAAAGGCACCCTCATGTATTTCCATTGTAATATATTTCAGGAGAAAAGATAACCGAAACAGGATATAAGAAGCATTTTCAGCAGAGAGTTTATTAGCACAAACTGCTTTTGATTGGCTTCTGTTGATTTAGCTATGAAGAATCTATTATAATCTAGCTCACTATCTCAGGCAACCTTCATCCTGAGATCTCTAAGGCTGAGTTGTTAATCAGCTAAAAAACTTCAAAATGACAGAATGACAGCAGTTCTAACACTGAAGAATATAGAGTAGAGGAAATAAAATGAAGAATGTCGAAGATATTACGATAGATGGGCATATGAAGCAACATAACAATGCACAAGAGCAGTTTAAGTGAACGCTTCAGACACAAGCCAACACCTTTTCTATTTAAAGATCGAGTGTCCATGATGCTGATGAAAATCGAGTGTACATACTACTGATAGGATAGGAATTATACTTACCATTCCGATGCGTGAATGATGTAACATTAACAACACGAGAAGGGATAGGACTCTGTTCTAGAAGCGGCAAAAGCAGTTTTGTAAGACAAAATGGACCAAGATAATTAGTTGACATCATCCTGCAAGACGATAAGAATGTCGATTAGCACATAATTTATGTTTCTCAAGATTATTGCAATCCTTTTTTTTTTTTTGATAAGATAAAAGTTTCAAGATTATTGCAATCCTATAGCAGAAAG